AAGGCCACCCAAATAGAATGACAGTCAACCTCAATATCTTTTGTACGTTGATGATAAAATAGGGTTAGTAGCAATCTGAATAGCACTCCTATTATTTGAATGGTGAGGAGTAGGAGTAGACTGAGGAAAACCAAGTTGAGCTAAAAGGCCATGTAGCCAGATGATCTCGGAGCACGCAGCAGACATCTTTCGATATTTAGATTCAATATAGAATTTAGAAACCTGATCTTGTTTCTTACTCTTTTAGAGATCAAAGAATCACCAAGAAACATACACCATCCTGTAACAGATTGTTGGGTCCAATCAACATCACTAAAAGTACTAAGGCGAATAGGAGAGTCGGAAGGAAAAAAATAATCCACAACTAGGTATGCCTCGAAGATAGCTAATAATACGACGAACGGTTGCAAAATGGAGATGACATAGAGTGTGTGTAAACTAGCTAACCTGCTGGACCACGAAAGAAATATTAGGCCTAGTGATAGTCAAATAATTTAAACTACCCACCAGTCGATGAAATACAGTATAATCAAATAGAAGATTACCCTCCTCACTACAATACTTTTTGCTTACTTCTAATTGAGTACCACAATAGAAGAATCCTGAATCCTAGCTAACCTAATCAAATCCTACGCGTACTTATGTTGATTCAGGAAGATATCAGAGGGATGAATGTGAACTTCCAACCCTAAGAAATATGTAAGAGAACCAAGACCATTTATATGAAATGATGTCTGAAGGTGTCGTTGTAGATGAATAATCAAGAAAGAGTCTATACTAGTGATAACAATACTATTAACATAGAAGAGGAGAAGAACAATACCAGAAGGGGTCTTGCAAAGAAATAAGGAAGGGTCATACGGGCTCTACTGGAAGGAAAAATAAAGCAATGTAGATTGAAACTTGTCAAACTAGGCCCGTGGAGCTTGTTTCAACCCATATAATGAATGCTTCAATCTACAAACATCTGAGGAAGAGGTAGAGGTCAGGGTAGGAGGTAGCATCATTTAAACCTCCTCTTTGAGATCACCATGGAGAAAATACGTTTTTGACATCCATTTGATAAAGCTACCAACCTTGGAAAGTAGTAATGGAAGTAACAGACTATATTGTAGTCATTTTGGCAACTGGAGCAAAAGTCTTCTTGTAGTCCACCCTATACTCCTGTCTATTAGCCAGTGCAACCAATCGTGCCTTATATTGATCCAAAGTCCCATCATAATGGAGTTTGATCGCGTAGTCACACTTGCAACCAATGGCTTTAACATTTGCAGAACAAGAAACAACGTCCCAAGTAGATTTCCCTTAAGAGCGCGAAGTTATTTTGCTATTGCATCCTACTAACATTCATGCTTAACAGCCTCAGAATACCATGTAGGAATAGTGATGGATGACAAAGTAACAGGAAGAGATGTATTAGAAAATCCATATAGATTCAGAGGATGAAGAATTCTAGTACAGAAATGAGGATTAGTGCCAGAATCTAACTCATTATCGGACGTTATCGTCTAAGCAGGCTCAGATGGCGGATCAAGCTCAAGAAGGGGCAAAGTAGGGCGACATCGTTCATATATAAGTCTAAGCTTGAACCGTCTAAGAGTAGAAGGTATGTCATCAAAGTGTGGAAAAACATTTATTACGATCAAAGACTCAATATGAGTGGAAAAGAAATATTGATTTTCGAAGAACACAACATGACGAGATATGTGAAATCTATTAGAGTAAGGATCATAACAAACATAACCTTTGTGAAAAATACTATAACCCATAAATGTGCACCTAACATATTGAGCAAAAAGTTTCTTACATTGATAAGGAGTTAAATGAACAAAACAAACACAACCAAACATATGCATATCAAAATAGTTGGGATGCTAATGATACAGGAGATAATAGGAAGTCTCAAATTTCAGAACACTAGAGGACTATCGATTAATTATATAGATCGCCGTAGGTAAAGCTTCGAACACAGAATTTAGGCAGAACAGAATATTCAAGCAATAATGTATGAACAATATCTAACAGAAGGCCATCCTTACGTTTGCAACACCATTTTGCCGAGGTCTATAGGGAAAAGAACGTTGGGAAACAATGTCTTTTTGGTGAAGGAAATCAAAAAACTTATGATATATATTCACCCCTAAATTAAATCTTAATACTTTAATGACCGAAGAAAATTGAGTTTCAACATAAGCGATTAATTGTTAAAAGATAAAAAATACTTCAGATTTAGGACGAAGAAAACGTATTCAAATATACTTGCTATAATCATCAATGAATGTAATAACGTATTTATAATGTGCATGAGATATAAACAGATGAAAAAAATGTTTCTAATTTCTTTTGTCCCAGCAGCTATAAGATAAAGCTTGATCAGATCTCTCTATCTCATTAATGTCCATAGTTTTCTTGTAGATCAGCCAAATTCTGCCATAGCCTAACACCGTTTTCACAGGACTAGCCTCACACATTGCAATGAATCAAATCAAAACTTCTTTCAACCCAACTACCATGAAAAGGAAAAGAAAGAGACTTACTGTCACCTAATTTGTGTGTGGAAAAATTAAGAGAAATATGAGGTGTAATTGATTTTTATTGCCCAACAAGTCAAAGTTTGTTAAATGAGATAAAACAACGAAATTAGGATGAACCAACCGTTTGTGTCATACTATACTCTTATTGTTAACATTAGTACAAGCAATAGATATAACTGGAGGAATGAAAAAGTATAGAGGAAATAATCGACCAACTTTAGGCCTCTTTGCGAGTATCTTCCCAACACTTGATCATGTACAAGACAACAATCATGAGAAAATCGAACATCACAGTCATTATCAACCAACTGGCCTACAAATATACGACTATTGGAAAATACAGGGGATACAAAAACATCTCTAACAGAGGAATTAACATTTTCAATAGCATGAATAGGTAGTTGATTGCCATTAGCAATATGAATGTATGATGATCATTTGTCCAAATATTTTTAAGAATATCATCAACAAGGCATGATGATAATGGTAGGAAATCGATACCTTTAAGACCAAGGCTGAAAACGTAGAAATAATCATCTACTTGACCATCTTAGGGGTAAGAATAGATGAAGCACCACCAGTGGAAGAGGATGGACCAACTGTAGCTTGATACACATTATTCAGACGATTTTAAAGATGAGTAGGACATTCTTTGATAGTATGCTCTGGCTTTTTGTAATAATTGCAATACTTCTTCTTACGGTGAGCAGCAATATGTCCATATTCCTTGCAGCTAAAGTATTGAACTTTGTGCATGTCTTTGCCCTTGCCTTTCCTTTAAGCGATATAGGCAAATACATTAGTTGGTAGTTTGTCTTGCTGGTAAATAGTCTGTGCAACAAGACGTTGCTCTCTGAAGCACAAATCCAAAGAAGGGAATGTATTGCGATTCGTCAAATTAGATTGAACAACCTTGAATTCAGGTCGCAGCTTCATAAAAAATTGATCTCTCTTGATTTGCTCATGAATCTCTTGACTTGCAGCAAGGAAACCATCTGGTACTTTGCATAAATTATGTCAGCATACTTTGCCTACAAGTTCTGAAATCTATAAAAATATTTCCGAATGGAGAGATCGCCTTGAGTACAACTAGCAATGTCAGACTCCAATTGAAATTGTCAAGCTGTATTATTCTGATGATAAACATTCTTCAAATATTCCCACGTACTCTTAGCATTCTTATATGGCCTCAGACTCAGAATAATGAAAGGGTCAATAGACCTTAAAATCCAAGTCATAACTCGAACATCTTTGATCTTTCATTTTGCCAATTTTATAGGATCCATGGGAGTTGAATCAGTCTCATCTATATGACCCCATAATTCCTTTCCAATAAGGAAAAGTCAAAATTCAAATTTCGAAACAAAATAATTTTTACTCGTAAATTTCACACCGAAGAAATCTGAAATCCCTCTAGACATTATAAAATAAATGGCCTAATAGCTCACAAGTCCAACTGAAACAATGATTTTAAGCTGCAATTCTAATCATGAGCCCAATCAAATTAAATAAACCAGTCCAATTATTTGCAGTAAAATAAATAGATCCAATTATATTAACCAATACTAGCCCAATTATAGTCCCCGATACCTCAAACACAGACCTTCGACACATGGCCAATTAATATAGCTCAACACAGATAGACCCAATTAATGTAGCCCAACACAAGAACCAATTTTGCAGCCCCGTGACCTTAATTCCGCCCAACACAGACATGCTCAATTAATACTCAAGCTCGAGGTGCACTCATCAATGTTCACAAAACGAGAGGTTCCCGATAACGAGGATGTTAAAATATGCTTATTTTATGAAGATGACAACAAGTCAACAACAGTGAACAGTGGTACCAATCTCGACGACACAAAAAGAGAGGTTCACATCCGATAATAATGAATGCCGAAACTAGAATCAGCGACACAAGGAGAGGTTCACGTTGGGTTTACCACAATACTCGTTGACATAGAGACTCTACAGAAATTGATGGCTACCATGATGAAGTGATCCGTCAAGTGCGTCCCAAAACCAAGAATTGAGCCTTATTGTAGAAGCCCAAGAAAAATTGCTAACAGAAGAGTTCTCTTAGATCAAGGGCTTTGATACAATGTCCAAACATAATTAATTTCAGTTTGAATGCCTTTGCATTTGAGAGTTGCTCTAATTAAATAGATGAAATATTGCTAATTACAAGGCTCTAAATCAACTGTTACATAATATTTGCAAGCTATGTGTGGATTATATACTAACAATAGAATATATACAAATATCATCCCATAACTAGAATTACTATAGTTATGTTCGTTAGTTCGACTAACGAAAGTTTGATGAAATTAAGTCGACCTTCACCTTTTTCGTTAGTCAGGTGAAGTGACGTGCACAAAAGACAATTTAAGTTCCGTCACTATTATTATTATCATAAAAAAAGTAACGTGAAATTCCTTCTTTTTCTTCTTCATTTTTTTTTAAAATAAAAAATGTAACGTGAATTTCCTTATGATTTTAACCACTACCTTCCCTTCCTTCTTACGGTAAAACCTCACAGGGAGGGGAAAAAGTTACCGTTCACGCGAATGCATGTTTTAAGTAGCCCGTGAGGGAAATTTAGAACATCCATCTTCCCATTTTCTTGTTATTCATTCAGTCAATTTGTCGAACAGTTTCTATGCAAATTTTCTGGAAGCAAATACAGCATGGAGAATGTTCCCAACAGTGAATTTATTGATGCGCTACAATTACAGCTGGAATTTCTCCGGAAAAGAATTCAGGTATCCAATTTTCATGGACAAAATTTATTACAAGAATTGATCTTTTCATACAATTCAAACAGTATATTTTATTCGACAATCGCTGTAATTCAGGAATTAGAGACTGAGAATGCCAAGTTCTCTGCTCTGCTCTCAAATTGCCGCTGCCAAAAGGTTTGTGATATCGCCTCTTACAAGAATTTATTTCCCTGTACTAAAATTACATTTGATTTGTTAATTTATTATTATTCAATGGAAATTATGACAGAAGTAATTAATTTCCTCTGAAAAAATTATGACTTTTAATAAACATTGATTCCAATATTCAATTTGGAATTAAGAGAATACTTATTTTTGCCATTGTATGTATGTGAACTTTTAAATACATGATTTTCATAGTGCAGATGGAAGAAAGTTCTAGTGCTCAAGTTTTAGATAGTGGTCATTTGGTAGAAGTAACGGAGAACCTAAAATTAGATGGTAATGATGAGATAACTGTGAACCCATCAAAGCAGACGCTTCCAGGTGTTTTTCCTCTTTGATGTTTGGATGTAGGCATCGATGTATTATGTTCAATACAGTTCCAGTCGTTTGGTTGTTTATTTTTCCTTTCATTTTTTCTGTTCAGGTTGCAGTACAAAGACCTTGCATCACTTCCCAAAGCGATATGTTGCTCTAAAAGTAATGTATTTTGGTCAGAGGTGAATATTGTGAAGATAGCTATCATTTTTATTTTTTTTTTGTTATTCTTTGATTAATTG